TGAAGGATACTGAGGCAATCTGCAAGAAAGTCAGAACTTGTAGTATACTAATATATTTACGGTTGAGATCTACAATGGTCCCCACAACTTATGTGAATCCTAGTGATGAGAATGCTGTAACCCAGGGTTGATGGAGGGTTGTGGTCAAAGCTCAGAAAATCAGAATACTGAGAAAAATGCAGACAGTAATGACTAATCAGTTGGAAACAAGGACTGCATTGGCAGTTGGACTCAAGGCCATGCATGGTATGCACTGATAGAAAATGTATCTACATTTTGCCCATGTTCTGAGACTTTACAGGAGACTGAGATTAAGGGCAAGGGACTAATTAATCTGGTGGAGGAAATTTGAAGGTAGCCCAACATTCAGACTGTAGCATAGGTATTGCTAGTAGCTTGTAGCCAGATGTACAGTGAGAAACAGGATCAAAAAGCCCATGTGAGCCCAGACAAGGAGTGCATGGCCGGCCGTACGAGGGGCGACTGAACCGGGCCGCAGCTTGCCAAGGGCCGAGGCTGAGCCGGGCCCGCTCGCCGCACCCCACGCCACGCGCCGAGGCCGGAGGATGAGCTCTGAGGGGTCCAGATTTATGAAAATATGCATCAGCTTAATACTGTCTTGGAATTCATGAGATGGAAGCATAGGTCAAAGCTGTTTGAAGAAACTTGGAAGTGCACTTTAATAGCCACATCTCCAAGGAATCAGAAGAAAGCAGTGGGAGGTGGAGTCATTGTCAAGTGATTTCGTCCTCAACAAGAAAATTTCATTGAGTAAAGTCATTTGAATTAGTGGAATAACAGTTATTCAAGGTGACAATGTACAGAATATTAAAATTGAACAATGACTCAGCTCTGTATTTATATCAGATTATTGGGAGCCTATCTGTTCATCGTTTCATACATCCAAGCATGGTACTGACAAAGAAACAGACCCGAGGATCAGTGGAATAGATTAGAAGATACAGAAACAACTTCAAACATACTCAGCCGCCTCAACCTTTTTTTTTTTTTGGTACCGGGGATCGAACTTGGGTCCTCGCGCTTGGAAGGCAGGCGACAGTACTGAGCTAAATCCCCGGCCCCAGCCACCTCATCTTTGACAAAGGAGCCAACCATCCTCATTGGAGGAAAGATAGCCTATTTAATAAATGGTGCTGGAAGAACTGGATTTCAACCTGCCAAAGATTAAAACTAGACCCATACCTATCACCAGGCACTAAACTAAGGTCAGAGTGGATTAAAGATCTAAATATTAAGACAGAAACACTAAACTTCCTGGAAAATGTTAGGTAGAACTCTTGAAGACATTGGCATAGGAAAAGACTTTATGAACAAAACCTCAGTAGCACAGGAACTAGCACAAAGAATCAACAACTGGGATCTCATCTTATTAAAAAGCTTCTGCCCTGCAAGAGAAACCACCAATAGAGTCTAAGAGACAACCTACAATGTGGGAAAAAAATTTTAGCAGCTGTACCTTAGACAAAGGACTACTATCTTTTCTTATTTTTTATTTTTTTAGGACTACTATCTAGGATATATAAAGAACTTAAAAATATCAGACCCCCCAAATTCAAAGACCCAATTCAAAAATGGGCATCTGAAATGAACAGACATTTCTCAGACAAAGAAGTAAAAGCAGCAAATAAACATATGAAAAAATGTTCAACATCACTGGTCATTCAAGTGATGCAAATGAAAACAACACTGAGATTCCACCTCACCCCAGAAAGAATGGCTGCTATCAAGAAATCAACCAATAACAAATGCTGGCAGGGATGTGGAGAGAAAGGCACCCTTCTTGATTGTTGGTGGGAGTGCAGACTGGTGCAACCACTGTGGAGATCAGTTTGGAGATTCCTCAAAGAACTAGGGCTAGAGGTCCCATTTGACCCAGCTATTCCCCTGCTAGGTATCTTCCCAAAAGAATTCAAAGAATCATACCACAGTGATATATGTGCACCCATGTTTATAGCGGCACAGTTTGTAATAGCTAAAGCTTGGAAACAGCCCAAGTGCCCATCAACTGGAAACTGGATAAAGAAGATGTGTTTTTTTATAAAATGGAGTACTACCCAGCCATAAAGAACGAGAAACTAGAGACATTTATAGCTAAATGGGTGGATATTGAGGCCATCCTCTTAAGTGAAATAAATAGGACACACATGTAAATACTGAGTAGTTTGTCTAGTGTAAGAAAGTGAAAAGGTAAATAAGAATTAAAATGAATAATTGATAATTTGAAATATTAAAAGGTCCAAAGGTGTAGGGGTGGTAGGAGGGGAAGGAGAAAGGAAAGAAGGGAAAGGAAAAATTATGAGAAAAGAAAAAAAAATGGAAACAAAATCTATGTAAATAGGGAAGGGTGGAGGGGGTAAAGGGTACACAGGTAATGGGGAAAAAAATAAGAACCAAGATACATGTACAGGTACAAGCACCCAATGATAAATGTAAACATATTGTATACCTAAAATGTACCAATAAAATAATTTTTTTTTTAAAAAGCCCATTTGAAAAGATTCCAATTTCACTTGAAGGAACCCCCTGCAAAGTTGAGGCAAAGAGAGTATGGTTGCTGAGAATATTAACATTAAAAAAATTCCAAGCACTTTAAATCAGGACAATAGTATAGAGCCCTTGAGGGCATCTTAGGAATCCACAAGATCCCACCCTTCAGTTGGTCAAGGATGTAAAAGAGTAAACATAGACTACTTTGAAAGAATTTGCTTTGAGAAGAGAGCCCCATAGGGCTCAGTTCAAGAAGGGGCCACCTAGCGAATTGGTTCCCTGTGATTTGTTTCACAGAGCTCAGAAATCCCAACACTCAAGCCTCTTCAGCTATGATTCAAGATGTCATAACTACTGCTTGATTTGGCAGCAGACCTTGGCATCATCACATGATCTTAGTTTTACCAGCATGCAGAATGCAAGAGTTGTAGGGTCAGGGAGGCTTCCACTCAGATTTCAGAAAGCCTGGAGGCCAAGCAGTGTGCCCCTGAGAGGGCAGTGCATGAAGCTGTGAGAGTGAAGCTGAAAGTGCAGTCGAGACCCTAGGCAATTAGACATGCCAGGAATGTAGAATGTCTACTGGGAAAAGCTGCATGCAATGAGTATAGTCAGTTCAAGTGAGAGGCCATGAGGGCTGCAACCAGCAATGCCATAAGGGCAAGGTTGCCCAAGACTTTTGAAACTCATGTCTTGTCACAACTAGCCTTGGGTGCTGGAGACAAAGTCATAGGATATTATGTTTGCTCTATTTTGTTTCAGTCATGATTTTGTCCTATTCCTCTTTTTCCCCCTATTTCTCACTTTTAAAATGGAAATGTTTACCCTGTGTTATTGTATTTAGGCAGTGCTTAATTTTCTTTTTTATTTTTAACAAGAGCTTTCAGCTAAGAGTTTGCCTTGAGTCTCAGAGGAGACTTTGAACTTGAACTTTTCAGAAATGCTGGAACTGTTAAAACTTTGGCAACTCTTAGAGATGTACTAAATTCATTTTGCATAAAGAAATGTGTGAGTCTTTTGGGGGCCAGAGTGGAATGTTATGGTTGAGATCTAAAATGGCCCCCAATGCCTCATGTATTTGGAAGATGACTGGATTATGGGAGCACTAGAACTGACTTGCTATTGGGAGGTGGGATCTGTTTGGAAGAGGCAGGTCACTGGGGGCATGACCTGGAAGGGTATATCAACCTTCCCACCTTTCTCCCTTATCTCTCTGCTTCTTGGCCACCATGATGTGAGCAGCTTTCCTTCAGTAGATGCTCCCTCCATTCCTCCCTGCCTTGAAATCTGACCAAATATATACTAAGAATGTGACCCAAAACAAACTTCTTTTTTCAAGTTTTGAGTGTTGGGTATTGTGGTCTAGTGATGAGAAAGTGACTAAGAATTAGCTTAAGTTTGAATGCTCTACACATAATTTTGATGGGGGATACCCTGACTTTCCCAAAAGTTTATCTTACAGTTCTTATTCTCTGTGTCACACACACACACACACACAAAAGAAAGAAAAGGAGAAGGTGGAATATAAAAGAATAACCTCTCTTTTGAGGTAGCTCTGCTCAGTGCCTACAGCTTTCCTCAGTAGACATTCCACATTCCTGGCTTCTCCAACTTGCTGAGACCTTTACTGCATATTTGGCTTCACTCTCACAGCTTCATGCACTTTCTTCTCAGGAGCACACTGCCTAATCTTCCTGGCCTTCCTCTGAAACATGGGTGGAGTCCTCTACCACCCCATAAACCTTGCATTTTGTATGCCTGAACACCAGCACCATGTGAATGATATCAAGGTTTGCTGCCAACTTGAGATGTAGCCAGGCTCCCTTTTATCATGGCTGCAGAGGCTTCTGAGTGCCTGGGTGACTATACACTCCAAAACAAATCCTAGGGCCAGGTGTGGTGGTGCACGCCTGTAATCCCAGCACTCAGGAGGCTGAGACAAGAGAATTGCCACAAATTCAAGGCCAGCCTGGGCTCCATAGTGAGTTCAAGACCAGCCTGGACTACATAGTGAGATGTTGCCTCAAAAAAAAGAAAAGAAAGAAAAAACTTCCTAGGATCCAATTCCTTATGCAGCCCTTCTATACCAAGAGGCCTGGGAGTTCTCAAATGGAAAGCTTTAATTTTCCAAGCTTGAACATGAAAAGTGTGAGGTCTTGCTCTTTAGTGAAATACTCTCAAGCTTTCCTCATGTCTTGATGCAAATTACTTGGTCTCATTTTAATGCTAATCTTTTCAACAACCATGCCCTCCTCTGCCCCAACTTTGCAAGGGCTTCCTTTCTGGGGAAATTGAAATCTTTTTACATCAGCTTTTTGCTCCCCATTCTCACTATGAACTTGGCTAAACGCCATCAGCAGATCCCTGAATGTTGGGCAGCCTTGAAATTTCTTCTACCCAATTACCAGGTCTGCTGACCTTTTAATCTCAGGCTTCTGCTGACTCTCAGGACATGGGCAAAACGTAGACAAATTTTCTGTCACAGCATAATACACATGGCCTATAGCCCAATTGCCTCTCACGCGGCTGTCCACCCATCTGCCTCCAGTGCCCTCTGCTCCATCCTGGAGACCTGGTCAGTCAAATATCCAAAAGATGTTTGCCAGTTCCCAGACCTGGCCAGCCTAAAGCAGCTCATGTCCTACGTCCTGATCAATGTGTCAGGCTCAGACCTCACTCTAGAAGTGCACAGACTTCTGACTCAGCTGGAGTACTTGGAGCAGGGTGAAGCTGTGCCTGAGGTTGAAGAGGCCTGGGGTGGGTGCCTGAGGGGATGGGAGGAGGGGTCATGATTTGGCCTTGCTGTGAAGAATGCTCCAGGTGCTAGTGTTTGGCCAAGTGCAAATGAAGAGGCTAGGATCACAAATGGGAATGAACCACTGATGTTCTGCTGCGGGGTTGAGGATTGGGGTTTCTCTGGCAGAGGAGGGACCTTCTCTAGCTTTAGAAAGACTTAGGGAAAGGAAGTCAGGTACAGAATCTTTCCTCTTGCCCCTCCAGCCCCACCTCCAGCTCAAGAACTGCCTACAGGAATAGCTTTCAACAAGTGAAATATATGTTCAGAGAAAAGGTGAGAGCCTCTACGTGCTTCTGTGCCACCAGGATATCCATGCAAGCAAAAATCGTGGAGCACATCCTTTCATTTTCCTCCTTTCCCAAATTCCAGTGCACCCTGGGCTGTCACCCACACAGAAGCCTGACACGACTCAGCATGCTCACGTATGAATGCTTCCAAAAGCTAGGAAGCCACAGGTGTCGATACCACCCTTTCAATAGCTGCAAGGAGTGAGCTTGGGTAGAGTGTGGGGCAGGACCACCAGTGTGGGAACGCACGGGAGGGCAAATACCGTCAAGAGACTATAGCCACCAGAAGATATTTGCACCAGGCCCCCATCCATCCTGGCCCCTCTCTGCACATCTGGATCCCTCCTTACCTGCTGGTCCCTGCACTCTCCACTGCTCAGGTCATAGGAAGGCCTGAGGGTGGTCAGCAGAAGGGTGAGGCCAGGCATGCAGGGTGGCAACTGAGCAGGGCAGGGGAAGTGGGGAACAGGAAGGCCAGGTCCTCACACCCCACACCTGCTCAAGGACTGGCTCCTAGACAGGCAAAGGCCATGAAGGGAAGCTCCTTACCTGCTAAGCAGGGACACCAGACTTTGCTTCAACCTTATAGTCTGTGGAGACCTGAAGCATTTACCTGCTGGAGCCCCACCTGCACACATATACATGCTGGCCCCCTGTGAACACACATGGGAGGGGGATCATAGCCAAGTCAGCTAGAGTCAGGGGATGGGTAAGGTTTACCAGGCAAGGGAGGGGAGAGGGAGGGGTGTGGCCCGGCCAAAGGAGGAGGATGCTGGATCCTCCCCGTGAATGTGACCCACAGTGTCTTGAAGTCTCTAAAGCCCAGGGCACCTCCAAGCAGGAGAGGGGAGAGGGGGAAGAGAGATGAAGATGGAGGGGTGAGGGGAGAAAGGGGAGGGAGGGAGGAAGAAGAGAGGAGGGAGAGGAAAGAGGAAGGGGAAAAGGCGGGAGGGGAGATGGGGGAGAGGGAGGAAGAGAGGAAGAGGAAAGAGAAGGAGCCGGGTAAGAGGAGGAGAAATAGGAGGCTCTGTCCTCTCCCTGGATGTGACCCATGGTGTCCCAAAGTTGGACATCTTCTGGGGTGGTCAGGAGGAGGAGGATTGGGGGGAGAAGGAGGGAGAGGAGGAGGGGGAGGAGGAGGCTCTTCAGTCCTCCCAGTGGATGCCACAGGACGTTGAGGTGCAGAGCACAACCATCAGAGAAAATGTTGCTTCCCCCTGCTGGCCACCAGCCGCAGCACAGGAAGCGCGCTCTCACTCATTGTTTAGCAGCGTGGCTCCCCCTCCTGGCAATTGTTGTGAATCTCTGGAATTCAGTGTTAATCTTCCAAGGTGTTTGTTTACTTGCTTGCTTGTTTTTTTTGAGACAGGGTCTCACTATGTAGTTCAGGGTAGCCATCAACTCACTATGTAGCCCCTGCTGGCCTTGAACTCCTGGCAATCCTCCTGCCTCAGCCTCCCAAGTGCTAGGATTACAGGCATGGACCACCACATCTGGCAGTTTTGGAGTAAACTGAAACAGAACTCACCAACCTGTGCCTTGATCTAAATGGATAGTGCCATGATTTGAATGTTCTTGAGAATTCATGTTTGCAAATTTAGCCCCCCAAATCATATGTTAATGGTATTTTTAAGTGGGACCTTTGAGAGATGATTGGGTATTGAGGAGATTAATCTATTCAAGAATGAATCAATGTGGCTTTGTTATAAAACCAAGCTCTCTCTGGGCACACTTGGTCTCACCAAGCAAGTAATGCATAGCACTGTCTCAGGACTTTGGAGAGAGTCCCCACCCACAGGTAGGCTCTCAACTTCCTAGCCCTCAGAACTTTAAAATTAATTTATTTTCCTTATGAATTATTCAGGAATAGTAACAGAAAACAGACCAACAGAAATAGAGATAACAAGAAGCAAAATAGATGGCCAAGAGACAAAAAATTGATGTTCGATATATAGGCAACATAATAATTGGAATTTGAAATTTCAAAAAATTATACCATTTACAACATGTATCAGTCAGTGCTCACTAGAAAAACAGATTTAATGCGAGATATACAAATATATAAGAATTTACAAGATTGGCTGACAATTCCAGCCCACAGAGTCAGGTGTGGAAGAGTGCAAAGAGTCTGTCTCTGCACTGGAGGTCCAAAAGATCTAGTTGAAGGCCTGAAGCTCAGTGTGTACCGTGTGAGTCCGTATCTGGAGGCCGAAGGGCCTACAATAGAAGGCTGAAGGGTCTGTGATGGAAGCCAGGAAATGACGTTCCAGGTGAAGGCAAAGACTGGAGCTCCTCCAAAGAAATAGAAGCAAGCCTTCCTTCTTTGTTTCCCTTTTATATTATTCTGGCAACAATCCTCCCTAGGGTGAATTTTCCACCCAGAATTATGACTCAGTCATTTTAGTTGGGCATTTCTCACTCAAATTGACACAATCAGTTAACTGTCACACAATAGAAGCCCAAAAATAGAAGTACTGAAGTATACATTTAACAAAATATATACAAATATGTATTCAGAAAAATTAGAACCATATGTAAGCAAAAATGAAGATATTTCTTGTTTAGGAGCAATACAGTCAATGTTAGGGTAGCAATTCTAGCTTGATCTATCGATGCAGTAGAATCCCAATAAAATTCCCAGCAAAGGTGCTTGGGATGTAGCTCAGTGGCATCATGCCTGCCTGGCAAGTGCAAGGTCCTGAGTTTGATCTCCAGTACTGAGGGAAAAAAAATTTCCAGGAAAGATACCAAAAATATTTTTTCTAAGCCTAGATAGATGAGATGGGATAAGATGAGATGGAAAACAATTAAAGAACCCACATATCTGGTTCTAGCACTTATCATAAAACTACAGTAGTAAAGAGTGTGGTATTTATTGGAGAAGAAATAGATGATAGGCAACCAGAACAGAATAGAGAGCCCCAAAATAGACCTATACTCAAAGAATTGTGTCAAAGAGACAAAGTCAATTCCATAGAACAGGATAAGTCAGTTCCACAAATTGCTACAAAGTAACTATAGGGAGAATAAACTGTATGAAAACAATATAGAAAAAAACCAACCTAGGCACAAATTTTGTGGCTTAGCCAAAAATTCACTCAAGCTAAAGTTAAATCATCAAATGGAAAATTAGAAAAGCTACATTTCAAAAGCCCTGTCTCCCCACAAAAGGGAGAGGGTTTAGATGCAGAACTGCACACAGGGGACTTCTGGGAAGATGGTGGAGTCATGAAGAGCAGAGAAACAGCCTCTCTGAGATTTGGTGTGCAGTTGCTGGAATATAGCAACGTAAGGAAGAGAAGGAGGGAAGTGGGTCCCCAGACCCATCAAGGCTTTGAAGCAAGAATTGAAGCTCACAGGAAGAGTAAGGAGAGAGACTTCAACAAAGAAGAAGGAGGTGGAGAGTGGCACTTTCTCTCTGAGTCCTGACTCACTGTGTGGGAAGGGCAGCTCAAATCTACAGATGTATGGTGACTACTGGCAATCTCAGAGGCCTCCATGGAGAAATGCACCAATGGAACAGAGCAGTGGACACAGCTGACTTCAGTGGCTGGTGAGCTATTAGAGTTCACATGTCCCCCAGGAGAGGGCAACTGGCTGGTAACCATTGTGCAGAAAGCCCACTTGAGCTCAGAATTCTGAGTAGCTGTGGGATGGCTCCATCAGAGTGAGGTGGAACCAAGTTCAAGTTAGCAGGTCAAAGAGGCAAGTTCAAGCCAGCAGGAGACACATGGAGTGTTTCAGGCTGAACAAATAGGTTTCCAGCCTTATAGCCAGAAACCAGTCTGAGCTTCAGAACTAAAGGTGTAGGCTTGCTGGAATTATCTACTACCCCACTGTAAATCTACGGCTGGTTCATTGGGATTAATCAGTGTGGATCTGGGCTCTCTGTGCCCAATTTGTCTACCAGTGACAGCAGAGACATGTCTTGAAGTGAACATTTTTTTCTTATTTTTTCCCTTTTCTTAATTTTTTTTTCTTTTCTTGCTTCTTGATTGTCTGCTCTTGTTTTTATATGTGTGAATGTTGCTTCTAGTTTCTTTGGTGTGTGTGTTCTGTTCCTATTTTTATTTCTTCCTTCTCTCTTTCCCTTTTGTCTTCATCAGTTCCCCAGAATTTGCATACTTTTCCTTTGTCCTCCAGCCTTGCTTCTAATCTGGAAACAGCCTAAGTGACCATCAATAAATGAATGAATAAAAATATGATATATATACTCAATAGGGTATTACTAAAATAAAGTAGACTAAAATCCTGTCTTTTGCAGGAAAATGAATAGAACTGGAGGACATCATGTTAACGGAGAGGGGGATGGATAAGGCATCTTTTTCAAAATTGCCTGAAGGTGTCACAAGAGCCCTGATGTGCAGGGGCTGGTTATCTTCTCATTAGGGAAGTTTCCAGAGTACACAATGACTAGTCAGGACCTTAGTTCTCAGAGAGAGCAAGATGTCAGAAAGCCAGGGATAACTAAGGATCTCAGGCAGTGGAAAGGGGACACTGTAGTCCTTCTCTGTAGAGGTGGATGTAAGAGGGAGGAATAGCTTGGAGAGGCCCCAGGAGGAATGCTGACAACCCCTTCCCACTCCCACCCACTGCCACTAGGTCCTCCCTCCAGGCAGAGTCAGGTCTGGGGGAGGGAATATGAGTAAACGGCACCTCCCCAAAAAGGTTTGACTGTTGTTTTTGTCAGTATATAGCATTTGAGACTTTTTAAAAAGTGATACAAGGGCAGGGGATTTAGCTCAGTGGCACAGTGGTTGCCTCGCAAGTGTAAGGTTCTGAGTTCAACACCCACTACCACAAAAACAAAACAAAACAAAACAAAAAAACGTGATACAACCCCAAGAGTTTAAAAATTTCAAGAACACAAAAGGTTAAAAAGGAAAAATAATTACCCTTGTCCAAAAATGTTTATCCTAGGTGGTGGCCAGTTTTTTTTGTATATCCTACGAGAAATATTCCAATAATAGCTTCTCTGTGCCTCAGTTTTCCTCTGAACAATGGGGATAATAACACATCATGGGGTTCTTGTGAGGGTTAGGTGAGCTGATTTTTGTTACACAATGGAACCTATAAATGTACAAGCCTTCCTGCTCTTTTCCCCCCCAATATTGGGGATTGAACCCAGGGCCTTCACATTGAGCTACAACACCAGCCCCTTTTTTATTTTTTAGTTGAGACAGAGACTCACCAAGTCACTAAATTGCCCACGTAGCTCTAACTTGCAATTTTCTTCCCTCAGCCTCATATAGAGCTGGGATTACAGGCTTATGTCACCATACCTTGCTGTTTTTCCACTTTTTACAAGCTTTTTTGTCCTTTGTCTCTAGATATTGTTTTCAGGAGATTGTTGCTCCTCATACACACAAGTGGGCCTATTTCTCTTAAATATCGGAAGAGCATACTGTTGTGTGACTAACTTATATAATTGGTCCTGTTAGGTCAGTCTGGTTGTTTCTGGTCTCTGGCACCCAAGGGAATTTACTATAACAGGTGTGAGCATCTATTTGGGTCATTTCCTTAAATAGAAGTCATGAAATACATGCATCTAGACCTCAAATAAATGTTCCTACTTACCTCCAGAGTGGTTCTGACCAGAACACGCCCAGCCTTTGCTGAGACATTCTCCCTCCCTTGCCCTGAAGAAGCTTGGCTCCAAACCTACAAGTAACCCATGCTCACTTTTGAATTATTATAAATGAAATTCGGCAAGGAGAAAATGATCCCAGTGCTAGTTTTCTGTCACTGTGAAAAAATGCCTGACAACAACGACTTAAATGAGGAAAACTTTGCTTCAGCTCACAGTTTCAGAGGTTTCAGTCCCTGGTGAGCTTGCTTTTAGGCCTCTGGTGAGGCAGAAACACCGTGGTGTGAGTGCATGGCAAAGAAAGCCACTTACTGCAAGACAGTCAAGAAGCAGAGGTTGAGCGCTGTGCCAGCAGGCAGTCTCCTTCTGCTTTTGTCCTATCCAGGCCCCCAGCCAATTGCACGGTGCCAACATTGAGGGCAGGGCTCCTCCTCGCTTTGCTGTCTCACACGCCAGTCATCTCCAGAGCCACCCCCATAGACAGGTCCAGAAGTTTGTTTTACTAATTTCCTAGGTATTTCTCAATACAATCAAATTGACAATCAAGATGAATCATCACAATGCCTTGCGCAGAGCAAAACAGCCAGTAACCAACATCATGGTGTCGATCATTCCAGGTTTTAAATGGAGATGCCTTGTTTTTTATGTTAGATGATATACCCAAACTGTGTCCTCTGTTATATAATTTTAATACAAGGACTCATTCACACTCCTACACCTTCTGCAGATCAAGGCCCACCTATCCTGTCTGTAAGGGAGGAGCAGAGGGCAGAGAGCAAGACAGGGAGCTCCCCTTGTCATACTGTACCCGCAAATATCTTGGAGTCTTATTGCTCCATTTCATAGATGAGGAAACTGAGGCAAGATCAGGTGGCTTGTTGGTGTAGTCAGAACTGGCAACCTTACGTGCCCTGCAGAGGGAGTTCTATTAAAAGCTGTCTCAGGACACCAGCTCGACTGGATCTCTGTACAGTACGACCTGCTACCTGCCCTGAAGTCCCCATCCCGGGTCCACCCCCTCACACCACTCGGCCTCCCGACCCCACCTCCGCCCCAAAGCCTCCAAAGCCCAGTAGGTCTGCAGCCCCTGCCCATCCTGCCCCTCCTGCTCACCTAGGTGGAGCCTCGCCCGCTGCCTGGACACCCAGTGGGCCAGGGCAGTTCCCTCAGGTTTGGTCACACAGGTGACTCCTGGGCGCTGGGGGCAGGGCCAGGGGCCAGGATGACCCCAGAGGTGATCTCTGCCTGCACATCCTCTCCTCCCAGGGGCTCACGCAGACTGGAGCTAACGGGCAGGACACGAGTTCCAGGGCCGCCCCATGGCTGCTGATGTTCCAGCAACACCTGGGATCCCCACAGGTAAAGAGAACAGGCCGGGACCCTCAGGGTTCCTGTCTCCTCATCTGCCTGGGGGCTGTGCTCCTAAATGTCCTGGGGGACCCTGGAACCAGGGATGCACATGAAGAGCTGGGTTCTGGGAGAACAAGGCCATTGACCACTGGCACTGTGGGCCTGGGGAGAACAGAGGAGTCCTCGGTGGAGCACCACAGAGGGCCTAGGTCAGCGTTTTTTATAACCTGGATCCTCATCCTAACGACTCAGCAATTCCAGTTACCCTTGCACCCAGTGTGTCCCCTGGGCAGCTGGGCTGTTTATTCTCACACAGCAGGTGTGGACAGAGGTCTGTGCCTGTGTTAAGCCCTCAGGAGCTCACCATACCCCTCTCGTGGTCCAGAACAGTGACGTGGAGTCTGGAAGCAGCCCACTTACCACACATATGCTACACACCATGTCTGGGCTCCAGCTGAGGGCCTCTGCCTCTGTCCCAGCTGGAGGACCTTGGCCAGCAGTGGACAGAGCTGAGGAAAAGGTAGGAGGTCCTGGGAAAGGCTGGGAAGCCATAGCACCTGCTCCCCCAATGCAGGGCTCTTCCTGTGTACCCCTGGGGACAATGGGAGAGGGAACCTGAGGGTGAAAAGCAGGGCTGACTGCTGCCCAACTGTCCCCTAAGACTTGGGGACCCACTGCCTGGGTTCCCAGCTTGGCCCCTCCCTACTGACTCTGCGTGCCTCCGTTTCCTCATCTGAAAACAGGGATGTTGAAAGTAACTATTTCACTAGGTATACAGTCCTGGGTGGATCCCATAGGACTTGCTGGGACAGCATCTTCCCAGGCTTTGCTTCCTGTAGCCTTATAGCCCCGTGGGCCAAGTTTGTGTCTCTCCATGACAGCCATGCCCACAGCCTGTGAGCACTTGTGAGTTAAAGCCTGGTGTGGAACCTAGAAGACCTCACTGTTGCTATAATTTATAGGTAACCTTGGGCTAGGCAGCACATTGAGCACTCTATTTCTGCTTTCTATTCTCCATATACCCTGTGGGCAGCCAGCATAATCACCCATTTTACAGATGGGAAGACTGAGGCAGAAGAGACAAGGAGAAAGTTGGGATTCCAGGTCAGACCCATAGAGTACTGGGCTCTTCAGCCACTATGTATACACAGGACCCAGACTCTGGGTCCCTTCCCCTTGCCCCTGCCTCAGGTACAGGCTCTGCTGGAAAGGCCCCCGGGTTGGCCCTGTGAACAGGTCCCCAGACCCTCCACCCACAAGGAGGCAGGCTCCCCTGTAGTCTCCTCCTTTCAACCCCCGGGTAGAAGAAGAAGCAGGGTGGGAGTGATGTGGCTGAGCCCCAAAGATTAAGCTCTAAAGGAGTGGCAAGTCCGCTACCCATTTAGCCCTTCACAACAGTTGGCAGTGAGGGGCTAGGTCCCACTGGAACAACTACCTCAAGTCAGCATGGTGCTGTGGTGCCCAGGAGTTCCACAAAGGGTCACACAGACCCATTCCCATCCCCACACTACACATGCACATCCCTAGCTCTCTTGTCCTGCTGGTTGGAATGTAATGAGGTTCTTCCAGGAGTAAGGGAGCAGAACTCTGGATGAGGGTCCGTGTGGACCTTCAGTGTAGCTGGAAACAGGCTCCCACATGGATATGGCTGGTTGACCCAGAAAGAAAAATTACTGACCCAGAAAGCCAGGCACAATAAGCCATGTGAAAAACCCAGGTTATGAAACAGCACAAAATAATATTATGTTTTGTTAAAGATATATTTACCTGTAAATAAACTTACCTAGGTATAGAGAAAAATCTAGAAAAATATATGCCAAAAATAAAGTGATTATTACTCATAGAATACTGTGGACTTTTTAAAAAAAATTTTGCTTCTCTGTGTTCATTTCTGGGCAGTACAGCAGTGTCCCTAGAGCCTGCTCCCATCTCTGTTCACCCATGTCTGCATAAGACGGTGGGGAGTGTCTGAGGCCTCTGGCAGCGCAGACCCAGGAGAGCTGGGGTAGGGGGCTCTTTGTCTCATCTCTGCAGCCCTGTCCTCTCTCTAGCTACACAGATATGGATGACGGCTGCCCTGGGCTTCTGAAGCCAGGCACCTCCAAGCTGTCCTTTGACCCTGAGGGCTACTGGAAGAAGAGGGGGCAGGAGAGGTCCTACCCATATGTAGAGGTGAGGACCACAGGTGGGTAGAGGAGGTGGGACCCCTGTCACTAAGACCAAAGGTCAGGTCCTACTGGCCGGGCTTCATCCCGGGCATAAGCAGACTGTTTCCACCTATTCCAAGAAGGAGCAGGCAGGTGAACTCACCTGTTTTTTGCTCCCAGAAGAAAGGTATCCAGGAACCTGAGGGATCATTAGAAATAACGACCACATATCCATTCCTGAGCTCCCTCTGGGTTAGAGTCTGGGAAAGGCCAGGCCAAGCGTGACTCATCCCCCTTTTTGTAGATATTGGTTTCACCTGAGCCCAGACTCGAGCTCACTGGGCCTTACCTTGCTGCTTCTCCCTTCACCTGGAGCCACCGTCAAAGCACTTTACCTTTTTCACTGTTCAAGGAGGAATAACCCCATCCTCAGCCCCCAGGAAGGTTCCAGTCCACCGTCAGGCTCCAGCTGTCCCAGCCCTGCAGTCGGGGCTACTGAACTCTCCCAGGAAGCACTGGGGGACAGCTTGGGTGCTGTAATCTTTCACTATCTTCTAGTGTCTTCTGCATCTCTCAGGTTGTTTTCACCATCACAAATGAGACCCAGAAGTTCCACATCCCCCTGCTGCTGAGCCCATGGTCATACACCACCTACCAAGGGAGCTAGAGCTGAGTCAAGCCCAAAGGAGGCCATCTTCCCCTCCCTCACTCTGAGCCACATACCCACCCCTGCACAGAGTGGGCTTCTTGATCATGGGCCACTGGGGTCACCCACTGCCTGGGAAGCTTCCAGTCTGCTGCAGTTTTCCAGTGGCCAACTGTGAATTCAGTGTCAATAAAGTCAGTGCCAGCTTCTTCAAAGCCGATCCCGTTGTAGTGACAGGAGCCTTGTGTTGGAGAACAGAAGCGATGTGTGGTGGCCAGAGCTCTGCTACTGCTGCCCAAGTCCCCAGTAAGCGAGGGGCCCTCAGAGGTTCTGCTGAAGCCAAAGGCAGGACTGGGAGGGATAGTCACAGTCCAGCCTGGACATGCACCCAGGGAGGGGGCAGACCGTGATGCCATGGGCAGAGGCCCTTTAGGAGGTTCTCGGCAGAGGCAGACAAGAAAACACAAAGGAACCATGGAAAAACTTCCATTTGCTGTTGAGGAAATACAAAGAATGAAAGTCTGCAGTCCGGGTATGAAAGAAGGGGTGTCAGGTGGAGAGTGACGCCAGCCATGTCCTGTGAGCTGCAGCCCAGGCAGGTATCTGTGGGACCATGGCCCAGTCTCTACCCAGTCAAAGCCATCTCCAGGGGCTCGAAGCCCACATTGCCCAAGGAGGCTTCACGGGCCAACAGCTTTGGCTCATATGTGCACAGCAGGGGACAGAGCAGTCAGGGAGGAAGGAATCCACCTGGGCCTGGACACTATGGCCAATATGCTCTGGCCCACCCAGAGCTAAATTCCTCTCCATGGAGGAGGAGGATGGGAGGGGTGGAGCCAGCAACATGGTACAAAAGAATAAAAGATTTGTCAGTGGTTCACTGTGTGCCGCACCCGGTGCTGATGCCTTTTTTTGACTCAGATACCTCATCGTGAGCAAGCACACTGAAGCACAGAAGATAGACTCACAGTGGCCTCGGTGGCCTCCTAGCTCCTCACTGGGCATTTCTCAGTGAGGGTCATCATCCCTTCCTTGTCCTTGTCAAACAGCATCTGTTCCCTGCCCCTGGTGGGCACAACATCCTTCACCACTCCAGCAACTCTCCATCTTCTGTCGGGAGCAGGGCCTCCATGGGGACAGGTCCAGGTTACCCCTGATCTGCCCTTAGATCAGAGGACAGCAGCACTGGGAGAGTGGGGTAGGGATCAACAGAGACAAACACCTTTGCAGCCACCATGCCAGAGAACTTTGCTCCCCAACTTTTTGCCCTTTTTTTTTTTTTGCTTAAATTCTTTTCTTGGTACATTTTAGGTATACAACACGTTTACATTTATCACTGGGTGCTTGTACCTGTTATTTTTTCTCCATTACCTGTGTGCCCTTCCTCCCCCTCCACCCTCCCCTATTTACATACTTTGTTTCTATTTTTTTCTTTTCTCATAATTCTTCCTTTCCCCTTCCCCTCCCACTTCCCCTACCCCTTTGGACGTTTTCTTCCTATTTCAAATTATTGTTTTAATCCTTGTTTACACTTTCAGTTTCTCACACTAGAGAAACTATTTGGTTTTTATACACTTGTGTCCTATTTATTTCACTTAAGAGTATGGCCTCAATATGCATCCATTTAGCTATAAATGTCTCTAGTTTCTCATTCTTTATGGCTGAGTAGTACTCCATTTTATTAAAAAACCCACATCTTTATCCAGTTTCCAGTTGATGGGCACTTGGGCTGTTTCCAAGCCTTAGCTATTACGAACTGTTTTTGCACATTTTTTAAAGGGCAAATTTCACTGAGTGGTGTGAAGGTTTGATAAATTGATCTGTATGAAATGCTTGGAGCCTCACCTGACTCAGCAAACACTCAAAAGGTTAGTTATCCCCACCAAGGTCCAAAAGAAAGTCCCTGGGCTTGGAACTGAGCATCTAAGGGAAAGATGAGATGGGTAGACAGGAGGCTAGAGAGAACTGTGCCCAGCCTGTGGTTTGAGAGGGCTGAAAGGCCAGAGTGATCTGGGCACTATGGAGCCTGGAAACCTGTGGGAGACAGTGTCTGCATCCTGGGCTCTTAAGCCATGACAGGAATGTCTGGACATGGCCCCAAACGACAGAACCAGAATGCAAGGTCCACCCCACAGAATTAAGGGTGTAACTGAGTCAGACTTGTAGGGTAGCTGATCTTGGTAAAATCCTCTGCAGGTAGCAGCAGGCAAAGTGTAGACAGAGCAGCTGTCTGGGTACAGAGCCCAGATATCTCTCAGATGCATGGGACAGACAACAGCTGGGGGTACAGGCATTAGTTTCAGGGGTCTGACCTTCCCCCAGATTCACAGAAGAATTCTGCTGATGTGTATATTCAGCATAGAAAGGGTGTGTAGCTTTCAAGTTCACAAAGGAGTTGGAAAAGGCTAGGTCCCCCACTGTCCCGTGCTGAGGGCAGTGGACATTAATAGGGGAGACAAGAGGCCAGGATGTCACTGTCGGGTGAGGGGGAAAGACAGAGTAGGAAACAGAAGATGGTAGAGCCCCAAGCACGCAACAGCCAGGCACGTAAAGAATGCCACAACAGTACCCAGTGTCGAGACCCAGAACACATGCAAGGCCAAGTGACCCTGGGACAGAGCAGATGCCTTGAGCTGTGTCTGCCCCACCACATGGGGATAGTCACACCCACTTCATCAGATGAGATATAAAGCGGAAACAGGTGTGCTCCTCAGACACCATCTGCAGCTAGGGTGTTGACAGGCTAGACTAAGCTTGAGGGAACAGACGCGGGGAAGGAGGCAGAGGGGCACATCTGTACCTTGCAGGCCCAGGCTAGCTCAGACTGTAGGTCTGTGATGGTGACATTTAATTCCAGAACATCCTAAGGAGAGACAACTTGGAGATTCATCATTTGGCTGAGGCCGACAGGGTGGAGGGTGGTCTAGGGACTCCGTTGAGGGGTCAACACAGTAGAGTTTTAAAAGTTACACTATTTTTTATTTGTTTAAAATAACTGTGATAATGTGGTCACATGATTCAGGAAGTTTAAAAATCTATGAACGGCTTTCAGTGACAAGTCTATTCCATCGTGAGGTCTGGGCTGCCCGACCTCTGTCAACTACATCTTCATTTCTTGCCAGGCCAGACAGCTTCTTCATGGAGATGCAGGTAGTACAGCGTATATTTCTGTTTCCCCATCCTCCCTTGTTGAGGGCCTGAGTCTGCAGGTCCTAGTCCCTTGGACACCCCCACATGATGAGGCTGCTGGTGCTCCTGACAGACTGAGAACCAGACCCAGCCTGCTGCCAACAGACTACAGCCCAGAGAAGCCCCTCAAACCCTCACCTGCCCAGTCTGAGAAGTGTCCTGGCAGGCAGACACCGTCACTTCCCTGGAAGGCTCCTCGCCCATAAAACAGGGTAACCATGACCAGGAAAGGCAAGGACTGACCCACATTTAGTGCCAACTGCACCCTGACCATGGTGGCTATGACTGGTTCTTATCACCCGCATCTTAGCTGCTTGGTAGCACAGGACAGTATCCAGCTCAGGGTCAGTTTGCCCCTCCCAAGGGGAGGGAAGGTCCCTCTTCTACTTTCCAGCAGCAGCACTTCACTTCCCACCTGCCTGTGCTCCAGGTGATCAGCCCAACCAGAATAGGAGCCCAACAGGGTGCAGACAGACAATGCTGAGCCTCCAATCCTAGGACCTGTTACTGTCGCCCTCACAGGGCCCTCCTGTGTGGCTACCCCAACCCGGCCTAAGATCTGGCTTATCCCTGTAACCAGGGTCTCACGGACATTGCTACTCCTGCTCTGTGGGCAAACAACAGTTCTCCTTTACCAGAAGTGTGGGCGCATCATCTTGGACCCTCCTAGACTCTCCTCGATGAGGGACAAGTCCTATCAGATCAGCCTCTTAACAGCTCTCAGAACCTCTGCTCCTTTCATCCCGCACCAGCCCTACCTGCTCCTCCAGCCCTGCATTCCCCAACAGAGGGAGAGTAGGCTCTCTTTGACCCAGTCTTCCCTGTCCAACCCTTATTGGCTCTTAGTAATCTTCAAATGTGCTTTTATATACTGGAGGACAGAAGTTATACAGGACTCACAGGCATCCATGTAAAACAGGTTCCTGGAAAATGTCAAGGCCAGAAATAATCAACAGAAACAGCGGGCTAGAAGACTCCAGCAGCCAGGCCCTACCCAGGCTGGTCAGTGTGATACATGGAACACTAGGGCCTCATCACTCACACTGCAGCTGCAGAAGAGTCACAGGAAAGAGAGAGCCCAGGCCCCTTATCTCTCCCTTCCTGCCCTTAGGGCCAACGCTGGTTTTAGGTCCCAGAAGTCCCCCACGTGCTTCTCCCTTGAGCCCTGGAAAGTACCTGGTAAGAAGGGACAGGAATTCTGCAGGAAACTCACAACCAGAATCTCCTTGTCCCTTTCATAGTTTCCAAGCTTCTACTGCATGTAGTTTCTCTTGTCCTGCACTTCCTGGAGGGAGTCTTCCAGGCATCTGTTCTGCACAGACACCTCTGCCATGGGCCCCTCCAAGTGCTCTTCCTTCTCGAACATGTCCTCTATCTGCTCTTACTGGCACAGTGCAGGTACAGGATTGTGGGTGTGGGTGCCCCTGGGTGCTCTCCTACCACAGACAGGTCCTGCCAGCCTCACACATGCTAAGAACCTAGGCCTGTTATGTACAAATAATATTTTTGCAGTCTTAACTTATTCTGGATTTTCTAGGAATGCGGCTTCCTTGCAATGCTATTGAGTTATATCCACTTAGTTGAGGCTGAGCTACTCCCAGGCATATGGCAAACATATGAAAAGTTTTCTAAACCCAATAACTAGAAAGACCTTTCCAAATCTAAAGTCAGACACATCTTTTTCTTCCAAATCTCCAGAAGGCTCTGACTCACCCAAGGTCAAAACCCCATCCTTACCATGGATTTCTAGGCCAGCAAGTTTTAGCCCACTAATCCAGCCCCCTTATTCTTTGTTCCTCCAGACTCTGGCCCTTCACATTGGCCCATCCCTTCTCAAACCCTAACTCTAACCCAACTCTAAGTCAAATCTGAACCCAAACATTAACTTGAACTGTAAACCTATCCAATTCCCAAACCTAACCTTCATCCCTAACACTAACCATAGAGATAACCACAAAAGGCAAAAGGGGATAATCTACCCCTAGTGTCTCCTTTTCTCAGGCCTTCCAAACTCCTAGAACCAGAGCTGAGGAAAAAGTCAAACAGAATACGGGAAACAGGGCGGGGAAAAGGAGGCAGGTGATAATACAGTCCAGAGGGTAAGGACTGTCCTGGCCTCTCATCTGAATAATGGACAAATACCCCAACAATTGGTCTGCTAGTTCATTGTGATAAGGGAAGACTACACAAAGACCCATGAGGAATCACTGCAGAGACAGGGTTAATAAAATATTTAGTGGAGGGTGTTTAGGTGAAATCTATTCCCTGGAAACCAGTTAGAATGCAGAATGCAGAGTCCCAAAACCACTTATCTGAATCTCTGCATCTAGGCTGTAAATCAAGGCATCTTCCTGAGATCAGGATGTGTCCTTTTTACTAATGACTCCTATGATCGCTTCTCGGCCTTTTGGCTAAGATCAAGTCTAATGACTCCTATGATTTTAATAAATAAGGATTCAGTTTAAAAGGAGACACTCAAATAAGAGGTCATCTGGATAACTTATATCTGCATGGTGACTATAGGAGGAAATCTATTTCCTTTTAATAATCCTGGCTTTATCTGAATCTTTTACCTTGGCTGATGAGTAATAGGGTGGACACTGACTGCTCACACAAAACTGATGCTTACTTTTCCAGAGGCCAGTCACGTTAAGATCCGGAGGAAGAGCAATTCAAGCAAAAGGGACAGCAAGGTTGAAGACCTTGAGGCAGGATTAAGTTTGGTTACTTCAGGAGCAGAGGGGTACACCAGAAGCCATATGTAGGGTCTTGTACATTGGCCTTCATATTGTATTACAGGTACACTGAAGTCAGTGACCTGAAGAAACATGATCTGAAATATATTAAGGATCGCTTTAGCTGCAATGAAGATAGGAAGTGAGCCAGGAGTAAGAAAGATTTAACATCAGTTTAACGCAAGTCAAGTTAAGAGACAGGGTCAGAACTTGCAAAGAAAATGCAGATTTGAAAAGACAGAGCTGACCTACCAGCTGAAGTACTGAACACATGAGGTCAAGAATGACACAGGTTTGTGGCCTAATCAACTAGATGCCACCACGTAAAAAGAGATTGGAGCCTGGTTAGGTGTTTGGAACATGTAGTTTGATTTGCCTATGAAATGCCCATCAGAGATACTGAGTAGACAGATGGGCACCAGGTTCTATCTAGTTTAGAATGCAAGCTTCAGAGACACCAGTAAAGATCAAGCTGCTGAGGAGGACTCCTCAGGTCTCCTAGGTCAAGTGAAAATCCCAACTCATTGAAACAGAGGGCCTGGGACTAACACCTAAAGCAATCAACATTTGCTCTTTTTTTTTTTTGGTACAGGGGATTGAACTCGGGACCTTGCGCTTGCACAGCAGTCGATGAAACCACTGAGCTAAATCCCTGGCCAAGCTATCAACATTTGGATGGGTAGTGTGCTAAGGCTTAATCCAGATCTCTGGCTAGGACCAAAAAGTTCCTTGGCTCCTAAGAGCAGAGCCTGACCCAGTGGAGGCTAAGCTGATACCCTGAGGATGACACCTGCTCACAAAAAAGGCAATATGGACAAAGGACCAAAGATTGGGGTGAGAATCCAGACTGAGCAGTGCCAGGCCTCTGCTTATCTGTACTTATTGTTGTTGTTTGTTTTTGGAACCGGGGATCGAACTCAGGACCTTGCGCTTTTGTGGCAGGCGCAGGAACCACTGAGCTAAATCCCTGGCCTTATCTGTACTTATTATAACTTAAGACAGCATACTCTTTCACTCATTATTCATATTTATAAAAAAAGATTTATTAGGACATTATGATATAAAACATAAAACACTGAACTACTGGACAAGGCAAATGTGAGTCCAGTCCAGTGTACAATTGCATAGCTTCCCCACAAAACCTCATGACCAATGCTATTTAAATCCTGGAGTATGAGTACTATATTCTTCATACAAACACTTCAGCTTATTGTAGATTTTATAAAAGCACCTCTGCCTCTTCTGGCAGGAGAGACATTTCATCACAAAGCCTACAAATAGGGTCTTGTGCCTACCAGACAAGTCTCATACCTGCCTAAATGCCACAGATCCAGACCAACCAGAGGCAGAGCAACCCCATATACACTGACAGAGAATTCCTGGAAAGGCCCTGCTCTCAAGACAAAACCTGACAGCCTACCATGGTGAGAACTGTTCCAAGATGGAGAAAAGGCTAAAAGAAATTGAACCTAAACTCTTCATCAGGAGTATCAAGGGTGGCCTTGGCTCTCCCTCCTGGACGAGGCCTGCAGACCCTTTGGCTCTTCTTTCTGGCAGACTCACCTACAGGCTGTACCTGGGCTGAATGGGCAGCTGTTAGGGGAAGGGGGAGCAGAATCAGAACTAAAAAATAACAGCTAACACTACCTATGCAGTTAAGATGGCCCACACAGCTCTAACCCCTTTGTACAATTTTAAATCAACTACTCAAAATTGTAAGGTAATATCATCACCACTATCCCTCATTTAGAGTAAGGTAATATCATCACCACTATCCCTCATTTAGAGTTAGAGAGATTGAATAACTTGCCAAAAATGTTAAGATCTAATGTTTAGATCTACGATTTGAAACCAGGTTGTTTGGCTTCAGGAGTTACACTCAAACTGTTAAGCGATCTGGCCTCCTGGATAGCACAGAAAGCCCAACAAAGACTGGTGAGCCAGCTTTCCCCATCCTAGAAACAGAATCAGAAGACCAGGCTCCTTCTACCCGTGCTCTCACCCCAGGACCTTTGCCCCTGAGAGGTACTCTACAGACTTTCTGCCTGTTCAAGCTTTCCTGAGCCCATCTTCTTCCCCAACAAGCCATGCTGCCTTGGGCCTCTTTCTTCCACTTCCTAGGCACTTTTTCCTTACTCCCTTGAATCAGATGTACAGAACCAACCGCCTCCCAAATAACTGCTCACCTGTCCTGAGAGCTCGCAGCACCTCTTGCCACTCAGCCTCCATCTGAGCCCTGTAGTTTCCAAACAAGGAGCGCATTAGCTGCCTCTTCCGGGGCAAGGGGGTTCTTTGACTGCTCAGGGTTCGAATCGCTCCAATAGCCTGCTGTTCTGCAGATAAAAATAAAGGCCTAGTAACCTCAGGTACACTAACAGCAAAAGCAACGATCCTATCTCTTGGCAGTACCTAAAGGCCACAGCACTATCACCGTTCAACACATTACCCCAACTACACAGAAGGGCCCCTCACTCTGTTTTGGGGTGGGTCTCTGCATCTTGAGGCCAAGCTCCAACTTCTCCACACACCAGGCCAGTTCTCGGTCCAGCTGCTCAGCCTGTGATGGATCAGGGGAGGTGGCTATGAGCTCAGGACACAGAGACCGAACATCCCCCACCTCACACCTCTCACCGCTTAACCCTGCAGATCCTAGGCCACACCCACGCGAGGACTCCCACCGAAAGGCACCGGGGATCCCACCCTTGCCTGGGCCTCGGCACTTGGTGGGGCTTCCTCCGGGGCGGGCCTCTCCGGAGCCTTCTGGCCCCCATTTGACACAGAGGTCCTGTTCTGGGATTTTTTCTTCCGTCTTCTCGAGACTGCGTCGCCTTCACTGCCTACGGGGCGAGCTCTGGAGGCGACGTCAGTGCCCTCGAGTTGTTCTGAGCAGGAAGAGACAGAGGAAGGATTCGGGGCTCCGGGGACCGGACCTGGACGCCGGGATTTGCGGCGCGCGCGGGCACTAGCTGGTCTTGGGGCTGCTGGCGCCTCCAGAAGAGGTTGTCCTAAAGCCTGCGGAAAGGAGGATAGTATGAAGGAAGGCCTGAGAGGCCTCAGGCCCCGCAACCAGCACAGCGCCCCTACAGCTCACCGCCATGCGCCTCAGCGGCTACCGGAAGTTACGTAGAGCCTTGAGTCGGACCACGGATTTCCTCCCCCGACTCTTAGTCCGCTTCGCAGGTTACCAGGTTACCGCAGGGGAGGGATGGCCTGAGGGGCTCCGGGAAGTACAGCCGAAGACTGCGGACGTGGGCGGGAGGGTGCCCCATCCCGCCCCACCCCGCCCCATTTTTGGAGGGAGGAAAAAACTCCAAACTCAGGTTGCCTCACAAAGCTCACCTTCTAGTGAGGAGAGAAACATAAAAATCTGTCGCCCGGAGTGCCACGTAGGCAGCTACAGGAGGGTGGTCAGCAAAGATCCCCCCCACCCCCAGAAGCGTTGGGTGGAGACCAGGGCAGCCGCCTGACCGGAACGTGGGCGTGGTCGGGCCACAGGTGAGAATGGGAAGGATAGGGTCTTGCAGAACTCTATAGACCAGGCCAGGCTTTGCCTCCGTTTAACTCGCTGTAGGAAGTCACTATAAATCGCAAGAGCTAATGACCTTACTTAGCTATGTTTAAAAATCGCTCTGCTGTTGTGTATGAATAACGCAGGTGCAGTAGAGGAGCATACAAAGGTTTCAGCATGTTTCACTTGCTGGTGGATTGGATGTGGCCATGAGGGAAGCTGAGGAGTGGGAGCAGGAGGAAGCCCCATCCCACAGTCTGAGACCCTGATGCCTCCTCCTTGCGGGGGGGGGGCTCACAACAGAGAGAAAATATGTAAAGACTGAGGCGAGACAAAGGATTCAGGAGGACCAGGGGTAAGACCTAGCGAGTGAAGGGTGTGGGGTGTCCCTGGAAACAAGAGCCTGACATGTCTGATGATTCCTGCCAAGGCAATATTGTAGGCGTAGAAAGTGTTGTTTCCTGAGACAATAAAGTGAAAATATTGGCTGCCCGGTCTTTGAGGTCTGGGGCAGAAATCTGTTCTTCACAGAAAGCTGATGTATTAGTTATTTATTGCAGTGTAGCAGATTAGTTTCTGAGGGTCAAGAATCTAGCAACAGCGTAGCTGGTGGTTCTAGCTCAATGTCTCTCATGAGGGTGATTCAACTTTTAAGGGAGAAATGTTGAAAAATTTTAGACATTTGAGAGTCACCACACTTGGTTGTATATTCTAGTCCTGGGAGATGAAAGGTTTGGGGATGAGTAGAGTCCTTATCCAAGGGGCTTTTCCGTGCCTCCTTTGACTGAGTCACCCTGTGACTTGGCCCAGAAACACTTTCCTCTTCCCGCCCCTATGAGCCCACCAGGTACTTCCATTTATCTACTAAATAATCTCCACCACCATCTCTGGCCTGAACTGATTCTTCCTCGTCTATGCATCATTCCCTCCTCTTTTCTGAACCACACTGATTCTAGAATGATCTAAAAAACTAACCATGTCACCTTCCAGCCTAAAAATCTTCTATTTCCTCCGGGATAAAGTCCAAGGTCCTTATCCTCATTGTCCAGTCAACACATGCCCTACAAATCTTGCATAGGCAACTATTTACAGACCTTGCTTTGTTCTGCCTTCACTGGTCATACAGCCCTCCAACCTCAACTCATCTATTCCTGTACCTCTCACTGTCCAAAACCATGCCAACAACCATTCTTTCATGTGTTCTCATTACCGCCATGGCTGTTTCCCAGGTCTTGAAGCACACTGGTCTCCACTAAAACAATCTTTCCTGGACTCCTTTCCCTGGCCTCATCAGGAAATATTTTTAAATCTTCATTCATGCAAATATAAATATACACAGTTGATTTGTTTTTTTCATTACAGGAGATTGAATCCAGAGCCTCATAAATACTAGGCAAGTATTCTACCACTGAGCTATATCTCCAGCCCTTTTTATTTTGAGACAGGATATCACTAAATTGTGTAGGCTGGCCCCAAACTTGCAATCCTCCTACCTCAGCTAAGTAATGCACCATAACCCCAGCTTATAGTTGAATCTTGATTTTGAAGCAGTTATATTCTATGAAGTCACAGCAATCACTGAATTAATGAATAATGAACTATTGCTACTTGGGGAAATATGGAGTTAAATTCCCGGGAACCTCTGGTCATACTTTTGTTTTGTGTATGTTTCCATTTAAGCGTACCTTATTTTATACATATTGATTCACTAACATTGAAGGCATGGCCCAGAGTACTATAACTCCTATCTGAATGAAGCTGATCTTACACATTTTCTCTATAAGGCACATCACAGTCTTCTTGCACTTAGCAAAACTAAACAGTGCCTAAACACACTTGAGATTTAACCAAACTCCCAAGAAAAACTACAGAAATGCAAATAATGTCACTAACTATACTATGAAAAGGGTCCTTGTTTACACCAGGGGAGTAGAAAACTTGTTCAAGCTGACAACATTCACATCAGGCAGATTTTTCACTGTCCTGTGCTTGTCCATAAATAAGCACAAAAGCCATGAAATGCCCTGAGTTTTAATTTGGCAGTTACAAATAAATTCTAGTGAGTAGGCAAATTTCCAAATATAGAATTCACAAATCTGTATGACATATGTTGAGCTTATGCCAATTTTTGTGTCACTTCAGACTGCTAGGGTTCAATTCCCAGCTCCAATTCTGACTGGTTTATTGTCCCTGGGAAAGTGATGTAGCCTCTCTGTGCCTTAAACATGAAAATGGGAATAAGAACAGTATCTATCATATAGGCTTGTTGTTGATAATCACAGTATGCAGAAAGAGCTTATTAGGTAGTAGCCATTATTACCACCATCCTCTTCAGTAGTAGACAAACATTACGTCACTTGTGACACCTTTATTGACTGCCTCACCCATGCAGATGTATCTCCTACTCTATCCCCACAGTGAGTTAACAGTGCCTCTTACCTGCCTGCACAACTTTGTTTCATATTTGGTTGTTGCAAACATGTTTCCTCTTGTCCACTAGACAGAAGGTCTGACTCATTTTTGTCTTTCCCACATAGCAAATACTCAAAAAAAAAAGTTTGTTGAATGAGTATATGAATGAATAACAGATTAAATGAATTCGAGGTAAGAAAACTGTCAGTGGGAGGCCAATTAGGAGGCCCCTGCAATTAACCAGGAAAAGAATTAGGGTGTGGCAAAGGCACTGGTAGCAAAATGAATTTATTCACTTAAAATTTTTGGAATATAACTAAAAGAGGCAATTTCTCCCATTGTAATAATGCTATCAGTGACAACAGTAAATACATTCATTCAGTTCACATTAGAGCCAGAAACTTGTAGGAGCTCTGCACAGAGCAACTCACTTAACCTTCAGAGCATCCCTGGACACTAACAACTTACTGTCATGGACACCAAATAGGAAATTCTAAGTGCAGTTGTCAGGGGTGACATATAAACATTTAAGGGACTATTCTAGAATAATCTAGTCTGGGACTCTCAGTGAAGGCTAGGAAAATTAAATTTAAACTGACAAATTAAGAGTGGGAGTTCAGGTGCGGGGATTTAGCTCGGTGGTTTCCACTGCCGGCTGTGCAACAGGAACCATCTGAGTTCGATCCCCCGCACCAAAAAAAAAAAAAAAAAAAAGAGTGGGAGTTGGTCAGGTAAAAGGAGTTTGGGAAGACTACTCCAGGCCAAAGGGGCAGCTCGTAGCAATGACTGAAGAAGGAACATGTAGGTTTGAGAATGCTAAGCAAGGCCAGCATGGCCAGGAGTGCCAGGTGGAAGTGGCTTGAAGTTGGGCTGTCCAAGCCAGGTAATACACCTGCAGAGCATTAGCAAGGATCAGTTTATTGAGGAAGCAGCAGATGTCAATGGGCATACCACCCTGAACATGCCCAATCTTATCTGAGTAAGAAGTAGAGGGTTTGAATCCTGATCACAGTGTAGGAAACAAATCAAAGATAGTCAAGAATTTATGTTGATAGAAGTTTCCATCATTAGCCTGTTGAAGCCCATCAGCTAGAGACTGGATAAAGAAGATGTGGTTTTTTTGTAAAATGGAGTACTACTCAGCCATAAAGAATGAGAAACTGGAGACATTTGTAGCTAAATGGATGCATATTGAGGCGATACTCTTAAGTGAAAGAAATAGCAAGTGGATCCATACTTCACACAATATTCAAAAATTAAGTCAGTGTTGATCACAGACCTAAAATGTAATCCCTAGAATTATAAAATGTCCAGAAGAAAGCTGGGTTATACAAAGATTTCCTAAATATGACATTAAAAGCACAGTCCATAAAACAAGGAATAAATTCTCCTTTATCAAATTTGAAACTTTCTGTATTCAGGGGTGGTGGCACATGCCTATAATCCCAGCTGCTTGAAATGCTGAGACTCCAGGAGTATTACTAATTCATGGCCAGCCTAGGCAACTTAGCTACACCTTGTCTCAAAATAAAAAAAGGGCTGGGGATGTAGCTCAGTGGTAGAGCACTTGCCTAGCATACGCAAGCCCCTTGATTCAAAAAAGTTTTCCTTAAAGGAAAAAAGTTTTATTTTGCCTCACAGTTTAAGAGGATTTAGTCCACAGTCATTTTGCCCAGTTGCCTTTGTGTCTGAGGTAGGGGAGTACTGCATGGCAGAAAGCACGTGGCATAGGAAAACTGCTCACCAGTTTATTTCCTGGAAGCAAACAGAAAGAGAAAGGGACTGAGGTACTGATATCTCCTGCAAGAAACATCCACACTGACCTACTTTCTGTCCACTAGGCCCTGTCTCCTAAAACATTTGATACGCTCCAAATAGTGCCACTAGCTGGGAGTTAAGCCTTTATTTAACACATGAGCACTTGGAGCTACACTTAAGATCCAAATCATAACAATGCATCTGAGGCCACACAGACCTTTAGACACACAAGCAAAAGCATTCAGAGGTGAAGTTTAAACTTGAACATCCCTTCCTAAGACTTGCACATACAGAAGAGCCTGCTTGCAGCACACATCTGATAATAGGGCTAGGTTCTAAAGACAATTTAGATACTGGAAAATTCCATACAGTGAAGTCTAAGCCAACTTTTCCTCCAGGATTACAAAATACCAGTTTATTAAAACAATATTCCACATTCAATATGCTCAAACTTAGAAAAAGGCCTTAGTGCCTGGGGAGAAGACATACAAAGCCCCATCCTATTTTCACTGTGTATAGCTTGTCATAGTGTTGAAGGACAGTCTTTTTATTGTCCAGTCACAATAATTCTTTATAATATA